CTCACACCAGTTATGATGATGGAGCTTGTACATACATGAAGTATCTGAGCTTTGGACTTGAATGCTTTTAGTGCTAGAGTTGAAAAAGTTGCTGACTTAGGCTGCCTTGAAGGCTCTGATTTCCAAGTGGTACAGACAGCTGTCTGTGTTCTGCAATTGCAATTACACAACAGCAGCAGCTGGACAGCCTGCCAGGACACCAGGACAGCCTGCTCTCAGCTGCTTTGGGGCTTTTCAGGACATCAGAAAAGTGCTGCACAAAACAAACTCACTGTACTTCTGTACATTCCAGGAGCTGGAGATGAGCTGTCTCAGGACAAATTTCACTCTTGTGCCACCTGGAAACACCCTGTTGCAGGATACCTGATGCTCACACACAAACAAGCAGATAACCCTGGTGGGGTGTAATGCTGATACTCACTTGGGGCTAAGGCAGCATATGGTCCTTGTTTCCTCTTCTAGAATATTTGGGATGGGTAGGAAAACTCTGTCACAGCTTGCACGTGTCAGTAGTTAGTGTTGTAGAGTCCATTCAGCTGTTGGCGTGCTGGCACATTTTCCACAGTTCTCCTTCTCCCCACTGCCTCCTTCACTGGCCTAGAGACCAACAGGATTGCCTAACTCTTCAGAAGGCCAAAAGACACAGTTGGAACATACAGCTGGCTTGGGGGGAGAAGCAATTAAAACCACACAGAGCAATCTCGTACCAAGATTGCTGCCTGTGCTCACAGGACTGCAGTCATGCTCACTCTGCCTTTGCTGGACAGACACTTTCCCAAAGTATCCACTGATATTTGTTGTTCATGCAGATGTTAGCCCATCTTTCCTTCTGCATCATTCTGCCTGCCCTGTCTCAGGTACTGAAGTGTTATCAGAATTGGGATTTTGGCAGCAAATTTTTGCTCTGGGCCTTTGCATGCATCTCTGTGTGACTGGACAGGAGTGAACTGTCCCAGTGCTCGAGCACGAACTCCTACAAAGTGCAGTGGGAAATGGATGGACACTGCTGGCACAAAAAGGGTTTTGCTTATGGAAATGTGGGGGAGATAGCAGATATGGGGAATAGTGGGGGATATCTGGGGGGCAGTATATTCAGTCTTTTCTCAAAAACATGCAGGATCCAATGTAATTTCTCTGTGAGAAGGATGAGGATGTGGCTGAATAGCGTTCTTTCAATCCTTTTAATTTTGACACTTGTTTTGTTCTCCAAATACTTTGATCTTCCCCAGCACCCACTTGTCTGCAGATGAAGCTGATAACAATCATTCCAAGCTCTTTCCTAGCATTCTTTCTTATTCTGCAGTCCTGAATGAAATTCAACCTTATCCATAAATAACCTTTTTCATTCCTCCAGCTGTCTCCTAGAGCTGGTTCGCTTCTGACCTCTCCCTTACTGACTCTGTACTGACCTTGCACTTCCCCCACAGCCCTAATCTGCCAGTGTCTACACTCCTAGGCTTCCTCTGCTATTTTGCATGATTTTTTGTTTTTTTATAACAGGGTCCACCATTTCCTGAGCTGCATTTCAGCAGTAAGTGTGAACAAGGCCCTTTATCCACACACTTCATACAGTGCAGTGACAAATGACAACCATTGCCAACAATTTTGATGCTTTTACTCCTTCTCTCTGATTCTAGGCTCTGGGTAAATCTATACTTTCAACTGTATTTTTCTATTGGCAATAAAACCCAGCACCAGTGTTTCCAAATTGTAGAGAAACAAGACAATTCCAGTGTCTTGTTCAAAGAGCAGTTTTTTGTCTTTAGTTGAATTTTTATCAGTGTGACAATAACCCCAGTGGTTTTTCAATGGCTTGTATTAAACTACTAAGGGATTATTCAGTCTCATCTCATCCTCCCATTCAAGGCAGTGTGAGTTCTCATCTGAAAATGTTGCAAATGGATTCGTTTTAGTTTGGTTTTTTTAATGAAGTTAGGCTGTAGAAATAACCAGTAATAACCTGCCAATGGACAGTTGTGGGACTACTTTTTAAAAGAGCAAAGTGATCATGCACATCATATCTGCATGTACATTTTCTTGTTTTGTCATGTTGTTATCAAACAAAGCATTTCCTCTCCCCCCCAGTATTTGCCTGTAATTTACATATATTTTGTATTGGTTGAGTGGGAATTTGTTTGCATTCAAAGTGGAAAGCAGAGATTTTTCCAACATTGATTTTTTTTTAAAATGACACCATGAATTGTACATTTTATCTCTATGTACCTGCAAACCAGACCCATTTATTTTACAAAGTAGAAAGCTTAACTCTAGGTGTCAGCACTGCAAACTGAATGTGCAGCTCTGAAAATGAAGTTTTGCTGTCTCTGACTCCTCCAGGGCCACCAAAATAAAGTGCAAGAGCAGTTTTGCTGACAGATCCATTAGGGCTGAGGAAGGGAGCCTGCACAAGTAGGAATTAACAGCACAAGTAGGAATTGTAGCATTCTCTTCTTCCACAGTCTTTTTCTAGCTGCACATAAATGTGTTCTTATTAATGGCATTTAGTAAATAATGTTTAATATAAAGGAAAGAATGAGGATGAAATCCATCTCCAAGCAGTGCCCACTGTTTCAAATGGGTATGGTAAGCCTTTCCCTTCATTTATTGTTAAATGCTTATATTGAGTGGCTCTCCAAAGTGATGAGAGGGCACAGGAAGCTGACTTCTTTTCCTGGTTATAACAGGCTCCATAGATCAGCTAAATTAATGGGGTGGGTGAAGTTTATGTGACTATTGCTTATACTTGAAACTGCACAGTAGCAGGAACATCGAGGAAGGAAAGACTTGATTTTCCAGCCTTTAATGCTAGCAATTATGAGAAGTAAATAAAAGCATTTCTGCATTGCAAGTACTGTGGTTATCCTGAAAAACCACATTTCTCAAAAGCACTGACTTTTGGCTTTGCATCTCTCAACTTTGCAAGGTGCTCTCATCTGGATCAAGTGATGCTGTTACATGTATGAGTGAAAAGCTGCTTCTTGCCATTCTTGTCCATAGTCATCACTTATCTGCATGTTTTGCTTTTAATTATGACCTGATGGCATTTGTCATGTAGTTAAGGTACTGTTAAAAGTGTGGCTTTCCTGAATGCAAACAAATGTGCTCCTGCTGAATTGGGTTCTTCTGAAACACAGTGATTTTGCCAGGGGACCACAGAAGTGTTCATGGCACAAAGCAGGAGTAGTTCAAACAGTTTCCTCGTGTAACACATCATTTTCCCCTCTTCAAATGCTGGAGCTTATTGATAAAAGACATGTCTCTGATATTTGCTTTTCACCATGTTCCTAAATCTAAAATTTGGTTGGGCCTTCCCTAAATTGCTGTTGCCACTAAGTTAGTGAAAACAGGCAGGGGCTTGGAGAAGCACCTCTGTCAGTCATTGAGAATAAAGGCGGCAGAAGCTATGAATGACATAGTGAAAAAAGCAAAAGGCAGGTGAAGATGCCATGGGCTGTGTGTGGTCTGTGGTAGAGTACACTGTTGTATTTCTGTCGTTGAACCTGGGCTGCACTTGAGCTGGTACTTCTGGAACACAAATTGTCTATGGCGGTAACTTGTTTTGCTCTGGGTATGGTGTCTAACGGGCTTTAAATACAGCATGTTCTCTCTAAAAGTACATTGAGACATCTAGTCTCCCAGCACATCTATAGGATAAGGAAGCATGGTTACTTTCACATGATACAGAAAGAGAAAAGGTTTATTTTACATACATATTCCAGGAAAAGTCTGCCTGCAGTTGATTTCCCAAGCCCCGGGGCCTGGCTCCACCCATAGCACCATCTTCCCTTTTCACAGGCTTCGCTCTCAAAAATATTTTCAAAGAAATTGGCATGGGCAGAGCCGAAAAGGAAAACGATGGGAAGCACCAACCGAGGCGGCTGACCGCTCTCTGAGGCAGGACACCAGGTGTCTCCCGGGGCTCGCTGCCTCCCCGAGGCGCTGTCCCGGGGCTGCCCCTCTCTCG